TCTCTCGCGCTCTGCGGTGGCTGTCTCTACCACACCTGCATGCACTTCTATTGCTGTCTCCTTTCTATATTTTGTCTCCTTCTGTCTCCTCTCTTCTTCTGTCTCTCGCTGTTGGTGCCGCGACTCCTCTGTTGAGTGTCTCCTCTCTGACAGCTCTCCGGTGTCTACACTAGAGTGGTGGCAGCTTGTGCTGCTGCTGCAGCTGCTGCTGCTGCAGCTGCAACAGCAGCAGCAGGTAATGTCTGTGTATGGTGTTGCTGCGTTTGCTGCTGCAGTCGGTGATGGCCCTTGTGGGCTTAGTCCTCGCCTCCACCAATTTCATTGCCTTCTTCAAATGCGCTCGATGTGTGTCTCTCGTATTGTTGCTGCTGCTGCTGCTGTTGCTGCTGCTGCTGTTGCTGCTGCTGCTGTTGTTGTTGCTGCTGCTGCTGCTGTTGCTGCTGCTGCTGCTGCTTTTGCTGCTGCTTTTGCTGCTGCTGTTTTCCTTGCTGAATAACCGCTTTGTTGTGGTGGCTAACCAGGGATTGTCGGCAGCTGCTGTCTCTCCCCTTCAGGCTGCTGTGTTGCTGCTGCTGCTGCTGCTGCTGCTGCTGTTCCTCCTGCGCTACAGAAGGTACAAATCGTTGCTGCTTGTGCTGCTGTTGCTGCTGGTGCTGCTGTTGCTGCTGCTGTCTGTACAGCTCAATCCCCCGCGGAGGCCGCCCTGTCCAGCTTGCGCGCTGCTACGTGGCGGCATGCGGTGCTGTCTCGTTTGGGGCTTAGCTAAGGAGGAGACCCCACAACTCAGCTGTCTCCTGTCTCCTTGGAGCATGCAGCAGCAGCAACAGCAGCAGCAGCTGCAGCTGCTGCTGCTGTCGCATAGCCACACCGCAGCAACTAGGGTCTCCGTCTAGAGAAGACTCTAGCTTTGGTGTTGACCCATAGGGGGCCAGGCTGTGCAGAGCCTCTATGGCTAGCGAGCTATGGAGCTGGCTGGCTAGCTAGCTAGCTACCTACCTACCTAGCTAGCTAGCTAGCTAGATAGCCACACACATTCACACACGGCTAGCATGCCTGACTGCACCCAGTTTGATGCTGAGTCTCAAGCGTGAAGGCAGCAGCAGTTTGCAGGTCGGGGCTAGCTAAGAAGGCCTTGGCTAGCCAGCAGCTAGCTACGCCTGTCGCTAGCTAGCTCCCTGCTCCCCCAGGCTAGCTAGCCAGAGCAGCACTCAGCTAGCTGTGACTTCCTCTAAGCCCTAAGACGAGGGCTTGTTTATTATGTATCTAAAGGAAACTACAAATAACTCAGGAGGACGTAGGGCCCCCCTTAGGTGGCGCTCATCCTTAAACCCTAAACCCTAGGAACCCTAAACCCTAGAAACCCTAAACCTTAAACCCTACGCTCTCGTAGCTGGAGACACGACAGGCATGCTTATGGTGGTGCGGGGGGCCCAGAAGGAGACCCTAAAGAAGGGCTCTGGAGCTATTTGGGGCTCAGGCCCGAAGAAGGAGACAGAATATTGATTAGAGAGACACTTATTTCTCGGGGCGAAGAGACAGCTAAAGCAACCGCCCCACAGCTCTTCTGCATCTCCAGCTGCATGCAACACCCGTGTGAAGCCTCGGTGTAAGTAAGCAAAGGAGGCACTTCTAGGGACCTTGTGTCTCTTCTCTACATCCTTCTTAACGGTCTGAGGCCTCTACTTAATCTCTAAGTGCTTGAGGGCCCCCATATGCAGTACCCCTGGGGCCCCCCACCAAACCCTAGTGGGCCCCCCGTAGACCTTTAGGGGCCCCCATGATGGGGACCCATCATAAGCCACCCATAGGGCCCTTCAAAGAGCCCCAAGGGGCCCCCAGGGGCCCCCAGGGCCTCCAGAAGTCTCGTAGGGGTCCCTCAACAGAGCCCGGGGGGCCCCAAGGGAGGGGCCCCCTGAAGCTGCCCCAAGGTTTAGAGTAAAGCGAGTTAATTAAAACAAGAAAGCCCCGGATAAGAGCTTTATATGAATGTGTGTTAATTTATTTGTTGTGGTGTATATGCAGAAGTGTTGATATGCTGTGTATATATACTCTGCTGACGAGGTGTATAGGGAGCTGTGCCTCTGCGTCTCTATTGAGTCTTTCTTTCTTTATGTCTAATGCTCTATTCAAAGCTAAACTCGTATTTAAATATTGTTTATTTAAAGCTGTTGCTGCTGCGACGTGCTGCAGGCGGTCGGCTGCTCCCGCTGCTGCTGCTGCTGCTGCTGCTGCTGCAGCGGCCCCACACTTTGGGGCCCCCATCGGGTCTTCAGTTCTTGATAAGATCCTGGTTGAGTTTGTTTGTAGTTGTTTGTTTGTTTCTTTGTCTTAAGACTCATCACTTGAATAATATATTTTGTTATTAATATAAACTGTCTCCTGCAGCAAAACTACGGGGGCATCCCTGCAGGGCTTCAAGAGGCCCCTTGAGTCTCCTTCTTAGGGGCCCCCTCTTCTTCTATAGACTGCAGCAACAGCAGCAGAAGCTCTATTATCCCAGATGCCGCCAAAGGGCCCCTCCCGCGGGGGCCCCCCGAAGGTAGAAGCCCATTCAAGTTCAGGGGTACCGGGTAAGGGGGCCCCCGGGGGCCCCCCAGGGGCCCCTGAAAGTCCTGAGCTTGATGATGCTGCATTAGAGCGGCTGCAGCAGCAGATGCTCGAGGATGATGATTTCGCTGAGGATATGCGTGCGCTGCTGCTGGCTCGCTTCCGTGCAAAGCACCGCAAGTCAGGGGGGCCCCCTGGGGCCCCAGGGGCCCCCTCTACCTTTGGGGGGGGGCCCCCAGGGGATGTGGGGTTTGGAGACGGTGGGGAGGCATCCAGTGAAGATAATTGCTCAAGCAGCGAAGAAGATATTGAGAGCGAGCCCGACCCAGAAGATATTAAACGCCTAAAGGAGTTGGGTTATGAGCTGCAGCCCCATGAGCGTCTCCTTAGCCGGGGTAAGGGGACCCTCAAAAGGGGACAGGGGGCCCCCTTGGGGGCCCTCTTGGGGGCCCCGCAGGGGCCCCCCTACCTCGTACCGATGAGCAGCGGAACGAACAGGGGCTTCGGTGTCTGCCTGTACACCTCAAGTGCTGCAGCACAGCAGTAGCAGTTAGGGGGATGACGGGACCCCACATGAGGCTTTCTTTGGGTTTTCTTCTGCATGCTGGTCCCCTCAACTTATCTAATCCTTTTTTATTTTGTTTGTTTGCTGCTGCAGCTCAAAAACCGTCAGGAAAAGCAGCAGAAGAAGCAGTGGAGATGGAGACAGAAGAAGAACTACCCGTCTGCGACGAAGAGGGTAAGAACGCCTTTGGGATCGTCTGGGATCGCCGGGGATCGGACCTATGTGGGGAGAATGTAGTGGGGCTGCTGCTATCTCCGCCATTGCCGTCGCTGCTGCAGCTCCTGCTACAACTCCCGTTGCAGCTCCTGCTGCTGTTCCTGCCGCATCTTCTGCTGCAGCTCCTGCTGCAACTGCTGCTGCTGCTGCTGTGTGGTGCTGCATTTGTTTCAGGTCTGCTGCAGAAGCTGGAGGAGCTGAAGTACGATCCCCCCCCCGGGATGCGCAGAGTCCCTTTTGTAGAGACCCTCGCAATAGTGGCTGACCCCGTGGTTAGCGGAGGAGACGGGGAAGCAAAGGAGACAAAGGAGACAATCGATGCTGCTGAGGACTTGAAGAGAGAAGCATTTTTGTATGTCTCTTTGTCTGGGGGTTGCTGTCTCTCTCTACATGCTGCAGCAACCTCTCAGCTCTCTGTGTGCTGCTTCTTTTTGTTTGCTTCTCTCTGTCCCCTTCATGTGTCTCCTCAGTCGCCCGTTCTGTCTCCTCCCCTGTCTCCATCTCTTTCTTCTTCTTCTTCGGTTCCTTCTGTGTCTTCTGCTGTCTCCGTTTCTGTCTCTTTTGTCTCTTTTGCTGTCTCCTCGCGTCTCAAAGGCCTTCGAGCGGGAGGCGAGGGGTTGGGGGGAGACGGTGTATAGACAGTGCATGCGATGAAGAGACAGTTTATCTCTTTGTCTCCTTACTTTGGGTTATTTGTTTCTATTAGCCCCATTTGTTCCGGTGTATGGGTGTGCCTGTCTTGCAGCAGCTCCTTGCTGTTTGTATCTGTCTCCTTTTTCACAGTCTCCTTTTTGTCTCCTTTACAGATTGCATCTGTCTCCTTTTTGATGTGTTTATGTTTGCCTATTTGTGTTTGTTGTTTTGTTTGTTTGTTTGTTGCTGCTGCTGCTGTGCATAGCTTTCTTTTTTTGTGTTTGTCTCCTGTCTCCCCCATATCTTTGTTTGTCTCCTGTCTCCTTTTACTTCCTCTGTCTTTACTTGTCTGCTGTCTCCTCATAACTTGTCTCTCTCTGTTTGTCTCCTGTCTCCTTTAATTCCTTTGTCTCTGTTTGTCTCCTGTCTCCTTTTATTTCTTTATCTGTTTGTCTCCTGTCTCCTTTTATTTCTTTATCTCTGTTTGTCTCCTCTATCTTTGTCTCCTTTTGAGTCTTTGTCTGCCCTTATGCATCTCCGTGTTCGATGTTTGCGTCTGTCTGTATATCTCTGGGGTGTCTCTGCATGCGCAGCTATTCTTTGTTTTTAGTATTTGTCTCCTTAATACTCCCTGCATTAATTTATTAATTATAAAGCCCTTTCCCTATGGATTACCGACTGTCTCCTCCTGTATCCCCCGAAAGGAGACAAATGGAACTAATAATGCTGTTTTTTCTGTTGCTGCTGCTGCTGCTGCTGTTGCTGCTGCTGCTGTTGCTGTTGCTGTTGGGGCTGCAGTGTGAAGCAGGTGCAGCAGACAGTGCCTATAGCGCTTGCACGTCTGCGTGCTTTGGGGCTACAGTTTACGCGCCCAGAGGATTTCTTAGCTGAGATGCTGAAGAGCGATAGGCAGATGGGGCGTATAAGAGCAAAGATAGAAGAAGAACAAGAGCGACAGCAGCAGTTTGCAGATAAGAAGAACAGGATATTCAATAAGAAGTTTAATAAACTCAGCGGACACCGCATTCAATCTCTCGTT